TTCAAAACTAAAACTAATCTAGGTTTCTCAAGAAATTCTTTTGATTTACTTAGCTTTAGCGAACACCTCGCACGGCACATTTCGTTTACACGTGTAACAATATTTTCTTGAATTTTAAATGACATTTTTTCAAAGCACTGATACTTTATCATACTCCTCCCCGGCACGATAACGTCTCTAAATTTAATCAGGTGTGATATGTATTTTTCTAAGGTTTGTATCTTTTGTTAGTTTTTTAGTAGATTTATCTTACTCAGGTTTGTATCTTTAAGAGTATGTATTTTACTAATGGAACCTTATTAGACCATAGCCTTTAAGATTTTCATTAGTGCGTTTTTAATTTCAGTTTCAAAAATAATCAACTCAGACTTTAAACTCATTTGTGCTTAGCGTCCGTTAAAGACGACGTTTCTTTCTTTCTTTTCTTTTCTTTTTGGAAGTAAAAGTGGAATCATCATTGTTTTATTATTAGGATTTGGTTTAAAAAAACAAGATGGTTATCTCTACTACTGACGTACATAAAGTTTTAGTACATAACTACTGACGTACATAAAGTTTTAGTCATAGCAAAGGAAAGTGGAAGCATCAGTGTTTCATTATTAGTATTTCTTTTCAAAAAACAAAATGGTTATCTCTACTATGACGTACATAAAGTTTTAGTCATAGCAAAGCAAAGTGGGAGCATCAGTGTTTCATTATTAGCATTTCTTTTCAAAAAACAAACTATGGCGTACATAAAGTTTTAGTCATAGCAAAGCAAAGTGGAAGCATCAGTGTTTCATTATTAGCATTTCTTTTCAAAAAACAATATGGTTATCTCTACTATGACGTACATAAAGTTTCAGTCATAGTAAAGCAAAGTGGAAGCATCAGTGTTTCATTATTAGCATTTCTTTTCAAAAAAAGAAGATGGTTATCTCTACTATGAGGTACATAAAGTTTTAGTAATAGCAAAGCAAAGTGGAAGCATCAGTGTTTCATTATTAGCATTTCTTTTCAAAAAACAAGATGATTATCTCTACTATGACATACATAAAGTTTTAGTCATAGCAAAGCAAAGTGGAAGCATCAGTGTTTCATTATTAGCATTTCTTTTCAAAAAACAAGATGGTTATCTCTACTATGATGTACATAAAGTTTTAGTCATAGCAAAACAAAGTGGAAGCATCAGTGTTTCATTATTAGTAGTATTTCTTTTAAAAAAAAACAAGCTGGTATTCTTTTTCATGGCGTATGTAAAATTTTAGTTACAGCAAAGCAAACAAAAAATACAAGTCTCTCTTTATTAGTATTTGATTTCAAGAAAAATGAGGGTTTTATCTACCATAACATATATAAATTTTTAGCCATAGAAAGCGAAGTGTTTCATTACTAGTATTTCTTTTCAAGAAACACGATGGTTTTCTCTACTATGACATATCTAAAAAATAATTCGAAATTTTTTAGTCATATAGCAAAGCAAAGCCAAAGTGTTTGAAGTCATATTTAAGCCATAGCATCTGAAATCATATTTTAGTTAAAGTTAAAAAAATCTAAAGTTAAAAAAAGTGAGTTTTTAAAGCTAATGACATTGGAAGGAGAGAATGTTTAATTGATGTGATTGATTCTGAGTCACTTTGATTTGATTCTGTCCATAAACGCACATTTTACATCATCGTAATATTAGTGGCTAGAAATTAAAGGGTTAAGGCAAACTTTTCAAAAGTCCGAGACAGACAATTATTTTTGATTAAAAACAGCACGCGAAATAAAAAAAAAATTCTGCTTCAACAGCAAGTACATTAGTGCATGTATGTACAGTATGTAAATATACATGCTGCATCCTGACATGTATGTGCAGTAGCATACTGACTAATTCTGAATCAAGCGGTTCAATCAGTTATCGCGCTTACAAATATAAAATGTCGTAAAGCTCATACACGCGTTTAGATCAAAAACGCGAATCTTACTTACCGTCACCAAGTCTCATGTTTTACTTTCAGAAAAAATGTTTTCAAATGTTTATATTATCGTATAATTGAAAAAAAAAATGTTTAAGACGATACTTAAAATCTTTGGAACTAGTTTTGTCATTGGGGGAGAATGAATTATTTAGTTTCACAAACAGAAACTTTCTACCTCATTCTGTTCTTCTATAGTTGAAATTTTAAATCGTTTTTAGGACACTATCAGTAAAAAACAAACAAAAACATTTAAATGAATATTTATTAGTGACGTTATTATATGACGAATTCGGTATTTACGATTCAGAAGCCGATCCGGGTATGACGCAAACGCGTGAAGTCGCTTACAGGTATCCAATTAAATCTGATTCAAGTCACGTGGTTAGGCATAATCACTTCACTTCTTTGCGAGTAGCAGGTATCCATTTATTCTATATACGTTAAATTTATTAATAATTCAAAAACACCAAAGCGTTGAATTTTGATGCATATCCCCAATAATATTTATTATTTAACGTTTTTCATGTGTATTTTTGTGTGTACGATGTTTTAAACAATACTCTAATGCTTGATTTTTAGAAAAAAATATTAACAACTCCTTTGGTTTGATTTCACCCAGTATCGAAAGTAATTGATTTATGATTTCGCTTGTAAAGAGGTTTATAATAAATTTTCGTTAGCAATTTTTCATCTTATTGATTAATGTTGTATCAGTAGTGTATGGTTTTCTTCAAAAGAAGGATATTTTTTTAAAAAATATATAGTTTCATAAGTTGATAAAAGAAACCCTTCGGGGCCCAGTAAAAAAAAAAGCCAAAGAAAGAAAGCAAGTCTCTGACTTTGAGCCAATTGATTTCAGAGAATGGAAAACCTTTTTAATGATTGCCTTAGGTGCGGTAAGTACCTTAAAAAAATAAAAGTAGTGCAAGTCTCAATATTGTAAACAAGAATTGAGAGAAAAAAAGTACATTTTCAGGCAGAGAAATTTATAAACTTCGAAACATTTAATCTGAGCTGCGCAGAAAGAAAAATGGGTTATGTATTCAATTTTCCAGATGGACGGTGTTTCTTATCTTGTCAAATTAAATTGAGCTGAAAGAAGATATGTGCTTCTATACATATGGAAAATTCCATTTTCATAAAAAAAATAAAATAGGAGGCTTTTATAAACACTCTAATACAAAGCAAGCTTGATACACTATCATTTAAGATATTTCTTTTAAGTACGCTTTTCCCTTCTAAATTTTTATCATAAAGATATGATAAAAAAGGGTTCTTTGTTAAAAGCTAAAATATCAGATCTAAAACACATTTTTAGAAAGCTGCGTTCAGCTTTTAAAGTTTGCTAAAGGAATATCTATACTTATGAGGCATTAGATTTCAAGACTAGTTAGCTCATTTTTAGAATAATTTTAAAAAGGCTTACAATTTTTAGATAAATGTTTTTCGTATTTTTGGAAAAATCTGAATTATTTGCGATAAAATACATGTGTGAAAAAAAAGTATTTTAGATTATTGTCTTTTTAAGTTTTTTTTTTGTAAATTTATTAAGTTTTATCAACTTCTCTTGTCTTATGCTGCAATTTAAATATTTTTCTTTAAAATTAATAAATAAATTAACAAATTTTAAAAGTTAAGAGATCGAGTAACAATGTTATTAGAAAGGATAAAAAAAATACAGCTGTAAGTAAAATAATTTATACATTTTGATGCATTTACTTTGAGTTGCGCAGAAAGAAAAATGGGTTATGCATATTTTTTTTCTTTGAAATTTAGTAAGTTATATCAGTTTCTCTTGTCATATGCTGTAATTTAGGTATTTTTCTACAAAATGAATAAATAAATTAAAAAATTTTAAAGTTAAGAGAACGAGTAACTCTATTATTAGAAAGTATAAAAAAATGCCGCTGTAAGTAAAATAACTTTGATGCATTTACTGTGAGTTGCGCAGAAAGAAAAATGGATTATGCATTCAATTTTCCAGATGGACGGAGTTTCTTATCTTGTCGAATTAAATTGCGCGGAAAAAAGATATGCGCTCCTACAGATATTGAAAACTCAATTTTCAAGAAGTATAGAAGGCCTTTATAAATACTTTGATATAAAGCAAGCGTAATACTTTATCATTTATGATAAATTTTTAAGTATGCTTTTCTTTCTTTTAATTTTCATCATGTACATATGGTCGAAATTGGTTACTAATAGGTATAGATTAAAAATCAAACATGCTCTTTGAAAATCGTATCCAATTTTTTTTTTTCAAATAATAAATTAGTTTATTTTAAATCTATGTATGTTAATACAGAATGATCCATAATAACTTCCCTAAATATGTATTTTGTGAATCCTTGTTCTTATATGAAATATCTTGGAACAAACGAAAATTTCAAAATTTTTTATTTAAGCACAATGCTATCCATGAAAATTCTATTGACTATTTTCTATTGGCTATTTTTTGCAGAGTTAACTAATGGTGTCAACAACCAGTTGTGATTTTTAACTGTTGTGCAATTTTTCAACAGTAAAAATACATTAATTTTTTTATTAGTGGTACTCAGCGTTTCGAAAAATTTAGAAAGGGTACACAAAAGTCATAAGTTTGGGAAACACTGTATTAGACAATCAAACTGGTTTCAGTGTTTTTACACCCTCAGACGTGGTTCGAAAAATTTTGATATCGTTTTTGTATTTTTTCGTAACTTAAATATAAATTTACAACCCTTGATGTATAAACTTGTTTGGGTAATAAAGCTAAAGAATAAATTCGAGTTTTTGGAGGTTTAATCGAAATATCGACGTTCATAAATGTAACATTTCATATATGTTCATATATGTAACATTTACTTACTTTTTACGCAGATTACCACCTGAATGAATAATTGACCCTATTACTTATTGCTTGAATTTAGTCTTTGACGTTAGTAATGATATTACATCGGAGCTATAGATAATTGTGCTAGAAAAAGCTCTGCTTGAGCTACAAAACGTGCTATTTAAAAATCATCCTTTGCCTATCCATTTTAAATTATTAAAAAGTTTCGGTTTGTTGATTTTCAGTGGTTTTCACCGACAGAATTCGGAACATGGTGGAGCGTGCTGTCTGCCAGCGCTAACATTTCTGGTGGTCTTTCGCCTTTTTTTACCGCATTTCTTATCCTGAATTATGGATGGAGATTCAGTCTGTTTCTGGCAGGTAATTTCTCTTTACACATGTACCAAAAATAATCACTTTGATTTTTCTTTTCACTGACTTCATAAGCAAGTTGTAATCAATCTCTAAAAAAAAAAAGAAAAAAAGAAAAAAGAACGTGTACAATCGTATTCACTTATGTTAGGAACTCATTTTTAAGAGAATGTATTTTTTTTTGTTTGTCCTTATGTTATGTTTAGTAAGTCTTAATAATTTTGTTACAAATTAGTTTTAAAAGGAAAGATGAAATTCAATCTTTTATTTGAATGGAAATTTAATTTATAATGATATTTTTTTAATTATTGTCAATTAAATATCCATAGTTTTGTTTCTTTTAATCTATATTTTCGGTGATTTCACGGTTTTCTCTCGCACGATACGTGTGAAATACATTAATGCTAAACTGAACTCAGTGGCTTGACAGCCCATGGAGGGCCCGGGCCTACTGCATCCATCCTAGTTTCTTGACTTTTGGTTCTCGGGAGCAAGAGCAGATGTTCTAATTGGGTGGTGCCGATCTCGGACCCCCAGTACTTAGCCTCCGAGCACATTTTATGGACCCACTGAAGGGATGAAATGATGAGTCATTCTAGCCTGGTCCGAGGATAGAATCCGGGATCTGTGGTATAGGAGGCGAAGCCGTCGTTCGTTAGTATGCTATCAAGAAAAATAACTATGCTATTAAGAAAGTATGCTATTAAGAAAAATATAACTATAATTTCTAACTGTACCTCTGCCACAGAAGCAATCCTATTTGTTATAAGCATTTAAAAATACTGTAAAATATTTGAATAAATTAAAAACCTAATAAAATATCCCTAGTCAAAACTTTATCGAGTTTTTATCTTTTATTTTTTGAGATATTTAGAGACAAAAAATGATAACGTAGCTAAAAGAAAATTAAGCTTGTTATGTTATTCAATAACTATGGGGGAAGAAACAGAAAGTGAGAAGAAAGTTTTATCTCATTTTCTAATAATAATAAAACCATATATTTTTATTATCTTCGTTTAATATCGCTAATTTTTAATCAATAAAACAAATCTTACAATTTTCAAGATTTTTCAGTCCTGGACATCGTTAAAGATAATTTCATAAATATGAAACACGAAAATAGATACAATCTTTAAATTCTCTTTTCTATAAGTTAATTATTAAATAATAAAAGAGATTTAAAAGTTTTTATGATGTTTTTAATATAATGTGTAATAAAATAAAGTATAGGAAATATCTTTATTTGAAATAAATGTTAGAAAAAATTTAATTCTCTTTTTTTTTTTAGTTTTTGAAAATGAGCAAATGATAAATCAGTTCGTGCAAATATCAGACAAAAACTAAATATCACTTTTATTATCCACTTTTATCCGATTATTGAATTTAGGTGTCAATAAAAATCTTGATATGTACGTACAAAATGTTTAATGCCGTGAAAAAATAAGTTATAAAATACTATAATTAAAATTGCAATTAGCACTAATGAGAAAGGCAATATTAACTAAAATGCTTAATACCGTAAAAAAATAAGTTATAAAAAAAACTATAATTAAAATTACAATTAGCACTAATGAGAAAGGCAATATTAACTAAAATGTTTAATACCGTAAAAAAATAAGCTATAAAGAACTATAATTAAAATTACAATTAGCACTAATGAGAAAAGCAATATTAACTAAAATGTTTAATACCTTAAAAAAATAAGTTATAAAAAACTATAATTAAAATTACAGTTAACACTAACGAGAAAGGCAATATTAACTAAAATGTTTAATACCGTAAAAAAATAAGTTATAAAAAAACTATAATTAAAATTACAATTAGCACTAATGAGAAAGGCAATATTAACTAAAATGTTTAATACCGTAAAAATATAAGTTACAAAAAACTATAATTAAAATTGCAATGACCACTTATGAGAAAGGCAATATTGACTAAAATGTTTAATACCGTAAAAAAATAAGTTATAAAAAATTATAATTAAAATTACAATTAGCACTAATGAGAAAGGCAATATTTTACTTGGTTTTATAGAATCCTATTTTTTGATTAAAAGTCGATTCTATAACAAGCAAGTTGGTAGTTTTTAAACGTGTTTTACACTAACCCAAAATTATTCTGAGATTATTTTATTCGTCCTAATTAAACTTTTTGTTTAGATTGAACGATGCCAAATTTGGCGGGAACTCGCGTGATCAGTCTCTTTTGGGTTAAGTTTTGGACCTACATTACTTAGATTCTTATGTGAATATATTTCCCTTATAAAAATAAAATGAAGTCTTTAGAAAACATTGAATGATGGCACCGTTTTATTTCCAGGATGTGTTTCAATCTGTTTGGGAATCGTAGCCATTTTAACTCTAGTCAATTCTCCAGTGGATGTAGGACTCCCTTCATTTTCTGCCGATAGTGTAAAGAAAGATAAAGGTATGTATTTATATTTCACTTCTGTTTCTAAATAAATGTTTACATGCTCAGTGTTCTGATAAAATTTTTGTCACATTGTAGCATTGAATATTAAGGAATCATTTCCCCTTAAAACATGTCTTTGGTCTATAATTCCATATATTATTTTAACTACAGTTAAAAATTTAATATCCTATTTTTTTCATTTAGCATCTAAATATTTATGCTAACGAAATTATGTTGAAATTAAGTATAAAATTTTTTTTTAACTTTATATTTTATAACCATCGTTGAACAGCCGACTCAATTTTGAGTTTACGACTACCAATGTTCAACTGGGTAGCCTTGTAATTTTGAACCCAATCCAGAAGGGGAACTCCTGGATCAAGTATAGGGACAAATTTGCCTTCTTGGAAGACTTTTTGATGGAGCAAAACCACATTCTCGTTACATGAAGAGGAAAACAACGAAAACCTACTGTGGTTAGTCTGGCAGCAAGAGCACTCTAATCCATGATCCGTGAGGATATTTTACCACAGAGGATATTTTATGTGCTGAGGATACTTTACTGTGGTCTGCGAGCACTGTGGTCGGTGCGAGTAGAGTGAGGAATTCGTATCGACCATCGCTTGGATTCGAACTGGGGTCACCTCGTTGGAAGGCGAGGGCTCTATCCCCTGAGCCACCGTGCCTTAGACAGGATTCACGTGGGGCTTGCATTTTTTAAAACAAATGACGATATTTTAATATCGGTGTAACCACCACTAAAAATTGTCTATGGTTTAGTGGTTCAGAGAAAGCATGTATGCATGAAAATTCCAGTTTATAAATCACTTAACGATAAAGTGGTGTATTAAAATAAGAAATATCTTCTAGCATCAACCTAAATTTGCTACCACTACTAAAACTTTCAAAGGACCGAAGGGACCTTGCTTAGAGAACAACACATTTGTTAATTATGTCCCTGTTTGGTGCAGATATTATATTCCATGCCATTTCGACCACTTTTTGCGTTTAAGGATCAAGTATTCGCCGTCAATTGCGCAATTTTAAACCAAGTTGAGCGAAAGTATATTAATAAGCTGTTGAACTCAAAGCCTTGAAGAAGAATACTATTGTATGTATTAAGGCATATCTACAATTATGGTAAACTGCGATTCTAAATATCCACAAAAAACCCATAGATTCAAAACAAATCTCTACAATAAACAAAGATCGCATTTTTCTATAGGTGTGCATATTGGAATGTCTTAGCTATAATGATGAAAGTCGTTAAATATGCCAGTTAGTATTAGAATTTCGGTAAGAAAAAGTGAAATCGCGTAGATTGATATTAAAATGTTATATTCCAATTGGTTTATATGTTCTATTGGTCTTATTGGTTTAAATGCTTGTTAAACAACTATAATGTAACAACTGGGACAAAAAATGCAATGTAATTTCATATTTTGTTAAGCGAAACAATGAAATCATTATTTTTTACTTTAATTTTTTTAAGAGTCGGCTCTCAAACAGTTAGCAAGCTTTCAATTACAAAGAAGCAGATCTATAGTTTTACGTTATAGCTATTTTGAATATTTTTGTTATGTTTTATCGATGTTTTAAGACTTTTCATGAATGTAAATAGAAGGATTTAAAAAGGAATTCATACGATGTGGGCATTTTGAAGCTTTACACCGAGAAAAAAAAGTATTTTCAAAACTGCCAGAATATGGTATGATTTTACAGCATTTAGGGTTTTATTGGGACACCAAAATGATCAGTTATTTTTACCAAAGCGCTTCTTAAAGAATTTGGTAAAATTAACAAAAAAGTGGGGTTTTATAGTATGTGATAAAATGTGATAAATATAATAAAAATTGGTAATTCTATCACTATACCTTAGAGCATTGCATAAAAATCATTTATTTTATTAATTATGTTTTTAAGTTAGTATTTTTTTCTAAATGTGGGGTAATAAGAACTATAATTTTGAAAACCAAAATTTCTGGTAACCCATTCCCATATGAACGGGAAAATTACTTTAGAAATGGCTTGAATACCTCATATTTTGGTTTTAATTACCAAAGTTAAGTTTTTTTTTTCTTTTTAGACAAAATGGCTTTTAAAATACCTTGCAGTCATTTTACCAAATTTTTTTTCTCCGTGTAGGTAGTTCATAAAATTGTTTTCGTAAAGTAAAATTTTGAAACGTAAGAAGTAAATTCTGTACGTAAGGAACGTAAGAAATATATTTGAAACGGAAAGGTTTGAAACGCAAGAAATATGTTTTTTTTTGGGGGGGGGGGAGGCACAGGGGATGAATTACACTCTTCTAGCTCACTAAAAAATTTCTTAAATTTTTTTTAAGTACTCTATTTGTCGTGTGCATTGTAAAATTTTTTCCAACAACTATCTATTAAAATTTTTACCTAGATTTAAAGGAAACATTATAATTTTAACAATGTTTATAAAAAAGTAAGCATTGTTATTTAGTTATGGATTATATAATTAACGTTCTATTTTCTTTAAAATAGCAGTTAAGAAAAATTGCTTATGAACAGTTACTTCTTAAAAAAAAATATAACTTCATTTAAAATATTTTTATGGGCAGAACGTGAAGCGTTAATTACTTTTCGTAACGAAGTAAAATAAACTGCATTACTAAAATTTCTGAAAGACAGCAGCCAAATATTTGTAAAAGTATGTTTTAAAGTAATTAAATTTTTAAAAAAAAACCATTGAGCTGTAGAGAATTAAAAAGCTCCTCTTTTAACACCCATGTAAACAAGAAAACCTTCTCAATTAATTTTAATAGTTAAGTACTTGTTTCCTTCAACACGTGACGACGTACCTGTTATTTATTTATTTTTATTTTATCATTTGATTGTAAATTTTTTGAGCAGTGAATGTGAAATCAAATTAGGTTTAATTTTTGCGGATTTTTTTTCAAATAGTAATATTCTTTCAAAGTATTTCTTATAGCGTATAATTAGTTTTCGCAAAAATAAACTATTTAAAATAATTCGATAATAAGTTTTTTTACAAAAAAAAGTCAGCAAATAAGATTATTTTGAGATTAAATTCTTTATAATTTTTGTTCATTTCGAGAAATAGAGTTTAACGGCGAAAAATTACTACGTTTTTTTTAATTCACTATTAAAAAAGTAATACTTTTCCGAAAATGTTGCGTATATATTATTTATCTCGCTAATTATTGCTTATTTCTATTGATTAGTCAAATAAAGATTCGGTGTGACAGACATTTCCACTAGAAAAACACCAAGTTATGAATGAATATAATTTATTTACTTGAATCTGGCATTTTGGAGCTTTAAACTTAGTAAAATGGATGGTTAAAACAAACGGAATATGGTTAAATTTAAGGTTTTTCTGGCTTAATGGAAACTCAAAAAATCTCGATAATTTCCGTCGAATCGCTTTGGAAAATTAACAGTAAAATATGGTTTTATACTACATAATAAAATGTGGTAAATGTAGTAAAATATATTAATTTTATCACGATACCTTTGAGCATGGAATAAAACCATTTATTACGTAAACTTTATTTATCTATTATAAAAAGGTATTTGAATGTTTGTTATATGTTGGGTAATAAGAATGTGGCGTAAGTACGACTACGATTATTAAACATCAATTCACAGGTATATAAGACATGCTAACTTGATTCAGTCAAGAGGTACCTTTTGGTAGATGAAGGTTGGCATTGTCGATAACTCCGCCCCCCACATTGGTGACTTAAGGACGTGATATGATCACGCAAATCTTGATAGTAACGCCCACTTCGATCTAGTAACGCCTACTTCGTTGGATGATCCACATTGAATAGTTGACTTGCTACTTGTGACTGCAGCATTATCCACCTCCTTACGCTGTTTCTGCTCAGTCTCGTCTCGATCATACACAACGTCAGCCTGTATACAGGCAACACATGAGCGACTGCGACCGTAAAGTTAATACACCTCTCACATTCAGCACTCAAAAACCCGGTGACCTTAAATCCAGCTCTTCCGGTCTTTCACAAGTGCAGCAACTAGTGGTATCCGTTCATCGTATTCTATCCCCGATAAAATTCTGGTGGGGGATTATTGTGCTTTAAGTGCCATTACGATTATTAAACATCAATTCACTGGTAAATAAGACATGGTAACGTGATTCAATCACGAGGTACCTTTTGATAGATGAAGGTTGGCATGGTCGTTGAATCCGCCCCCCACAAGAACTATAATTTTGAAAATCAGAAGTTCCGTTAAGCCGTTACTATATAAACCGGAAAATTACCAAAAGAATGGCTTAAATTCTGTATATTTTGGTTTTAATAACCAAAATTATGTTTTTTTTTTTTTTTTTTTTTTTTTTTTTTTTTTTTTTTAACCAGCGGTGTCTTTACCATAAATTTAAATTGTGATCATTTTACCAGACATTTTTTTCTCCATGTAGGCAGTTTATAAAATTGTTTTTGCAAAGTATAGAAAGATATAATTTTGAAATGTAAGAAATACATTTTGTGCTAGGAGAGCACAGATAATAAATAAAACTCTTAAAGCTTACTAACTTTTCTAAACGAAAAATGTTTTCGTTCCTCCTATTGATGTATATTTGTTGTGTGCATTTTAAAAGCATTTTCCATCAACTATATCCATTAAAAGTCTTTTAACTGGAATTATAGGAAACATTATTATTTTAACAATGCCAATAAAAAATATACATTGTTATTTAGTTATGGGTTGAATAATTAACATTCTATTTTCGTTAAGATAACAGCTTAGAAAAATTGCTTATAAACAGTTACTTCTAAAAAAAATATAACTCTATTTAAAGCAATTTTAAGTGCTGAACGTGAAACGTTAATTACTTTTGGTAACGAAGTAAAATAAACTGCGTCATTGAAATTTCTGAACGACAGCATCCAAACATTTAAAAGCGTAAGTTTTAAACTAATTAAATTTTTTAAAAAAATCATTGAGTTACATAGAATTAAAAAGCTCTCTTTAACACACACGTAAACAAGAAAACCTTCTCAATTAATTTTAATAGTTAAGTTCTTTTTTTCTTTTAACACGTGATGATGTACTTGTTATTTATTTATTCATCTTATTATTTAACTTTAAATTTTTAAGAGTAAATGCGAAATCAAATTAGGTTTAATTTTCACAGAAATAGTTTTTTTTTCTAATCCCCTAATATTGTTTCAAAAGGAATTTTAATAGCGTGTTATTGATTTTCTCTAAAATAAACTATTTATTATAATCTAATAATAAGTCTTTTTAGAAAAAAAAAAATCAGCAAATGAGATTATTTTGCTGACCGGCTGTATAATGTACAAGCAGTTGATCTCGTGGGTGGATGATTCATGGTTCGAATCCCGCTTCGGACATGGGCGTAATTTATCTTTCTCATCTATTTAATATTGTTATGTTGTTACATTGTGCCCACGATAAAGTGATAGTTAGATATTTTAGGCTCTTAAAGTTTTTTTTTTTGTTTTATTTTTGGGAAAAATAGAATGACGAAATATTTCTTAGATTTTGACGAAATTCGTGTTCTCGAGGGAGTGACAATAGTTATTTCTCCATTTTGAAGAAATTTTTTCTCGGAGCAGATACCAGAAAATGGTTTCGTCAAAAAATGAAAAAGGTTTCATGATATTTGAGTATACATATTTTACAGTGATTAAGTGAGTAATATTTTAGAGAAAATGTTGCAAATAAATAATTTATTTGCAACATTATTAACCAAAACTATTAATTATTTTCACAGATTAGTCTAATAGAGTTTGTACAATCCTAAACGATGTGTGAAGGAGCATTTTTTCTCAAGTTAACACAAAATCGATCTTTCATGTACAATTTAACGGGTGCATGAAAGAACACCAAAAGTGCATAAAGTTTACAAAAGTATCTCTCGCCCTTACACCATACGTAAAATATTTCGTTTCCGAGAATACCAATGTTGGCGTGTTATGATTTCGTCTGTAATTGTTTACGATTGATAAAGAATCGGCGAAAATTTGCGGCTGTCTTCATCGTTTCTTTTCATCTGCAGAAGCTGAAGTTTGCCATTACAAAATTTATATGCATATTTTTAGATGTCTAATAAGGATATTTATATTTAAATTTTCAAGTCTCTGTAAAAAGTATTAAATAATTTTGAGCTGTATAATTTTTTCCGTCCCTACTCTGTTAGGCCCAGTTCGAATTCGTCTTAATGTTCTCTTTGTTACGCGTATCTTTGATTTACAAACTCACTTTATTTTAAAAACTGTTGCATGTATGCAACCTAAGCTTCTGATTCTTACTTGTATTGTCGGGTAAAAGTAACTTTACTGATTCTTATGTGTATCATTACTTACACAATTTTAAATTTTAGTGTTACAAAATAATAAACATGGAGGCACGGGGAAGGCCACTTTACACAAAATAGTGTAAAAGAACATTCTAGGTATTTCAAAGCACTAGGAATCACATTGGGTTGTGTTGTAGTGGAAGACCACTTTAGTGTAAAATACACAGTAAAAATTTTCTGATCAAATTATGGTAAAAAATACCGGCATTTAGGGTGCTGGTACTTTTTATTGTAAAATCCATTTTCAACGGAATAGCTACGGAACAAAAGATCGGATACCTCGTACTTTTATTATAATATTTACCGTAAAACCACTGAGTGATTCTAATTTAATCAATTATACTGTAAAAATTACGCTTTTGCGGTAAGATACTTATGATAAAATGAATTTTACGGATGATACTTACAGTACTTAAAACTGTAATTTGATCCGGAATTTTTTACGGTGTAATTGCAATGACAATTGGTTTTCGACGATTTTATGTTTATGTTATATCGATATAATATCTTTCTATTTTTATTATCCAAATAATTTTTAAATAATTTTAGACAAGGGGTCATCAAGTGATGCGAAGGTAGCGGATTTGCTAAGTTCTCCTGCATTGTGGTTCGTATCCTTCTGTTACATGATTGTGTTTTGTGCCAAAACAGGAACCGTAGACTGGGGTCAATTATATCTTATTGAAGATAGGAAGCATACACAGTATGTTGGTAAGAGTTTTTCAGTTAATTTGTGTTCATCGTTACATTTAATAAAACTCGAAGTGTAGAAAATGAAAATAGATTGTTGCTGCGGTGTCCATGGATGTTGTGGACAGTAAGAGACTAAAAGTAGAAATAATTTAAATTTTTTCTAAAAAATAATCATTAAAGAATACAGGCAACAAGAACAAGTCTCAAATATTATCTTTAAAAAATTGTCCATAGTGGATCAAGAAGTGAAAAAACAGTAAGTTTTAAAATATTTTTTTTTGTGCTAGGAAAATATACACATTTAGGACCACAAACTAATAATTACGTGAAGAAAAGGCTGAGACACTATCATAGTCTGACACAATACTATTTTATTTTATTTTATAACAGTCGTTGAACAGCCGACCCAATTTTTGGGTTCACTATTACTAATGTCCAGCTCCGTAGCCTTGTAATTTTGAACCCAATCCAGAAAACAAGGGAACTCCTGGATATAGGAAGAAATTTTGCTTTCGTGGAAGACTTTTTGATGGAACTACGTGGAGAGGAAGACCACGAGAACCTCTCACTCTTAGCTTGACAGAGAAAGAACTCTAACCCATGATCCGTCTACCACTGAGGATATTTCACGTCAGCACTGTGGTCGGTGCAAGCCGCATACAGATTCGTATCGATCAGCCATCGTTAGGTTCGAACCCGGTTCACCTCAATGTAAGGGGAACGCTCTATCCCCTGAGCCATCGCGGCTCTGACACAATACTTTTAAAAAAGCGGTAGAACAAAATATCAAAAATTGCCGATTTAAATTTTACATTTTAAGAGTCTTTCAAGTTCTCTCTATTTCACAGGCAATGAAACAAATTTTGTTGTTTTGAATACCCGCTTAATTGAATAGAGATAAGTCAGTTTTCGATAGTTGCTTAGTTTTTTTTCGCTTAAGTACAAATTTCTGGTCCCCATTATGCAAGGAATTTTTTTTTTTTACAAGATTATAAAAATAAATTTTAAGGGTGATCATTGTGGAGTGCCCTAGAAATACGTAGATGCGAGTTGTGTATTTTTAACTCAGGCTTACAATCACAAAGTACAAAATGCACAACAACAATGCATAACAACGTATAAAATGTATATTCTTACTTATTTTTATATATTTCAGCAAGTGCATTTACGAGTAGTGTGGAGAGTGGTGGATTTATTGGTGGAATACTGGCTGGCTATCTGACTGATCTAATGTTGAAAAGTCGTTCACCAAAAGTGAGCTTTTGTTCTTTATTATTTCGAAGTAACACATTTTAAATAACACATTTTAAATAATTCCACCAGACTTTTGATGCTACGGGACCTTAGGATCCCGGACATTCATATATATGGCTCCTTTTTTATTAAAAGCAATTACCTACTTAAAATATGAATTCTCCATTTCTTCTAAGTTAAAAATATTGTGAAAACAGGAAAAGATATAAAGATTTCATAAAGGAGACGAAAATAATTTGAAAAATGTTTTTCTAAAAATATTCGCAAATTTAAAAAAAAATTTAAAATTAAAAAAAAAGATGGAAAATTAAATTTGGAAAAGATATAAATCTACTCATCAGCTCACACTATCATATCCGATAAAATAGTGCTTTCTAATATTGTATTAATATAACCAAGGCAAAACATATTTAAAAAACTTTAAATGAAAATAGAATCCATTAAGCAAAAATTCAAAATTAGTGAATTCGAATGTACTTACACTTATAGAAATTTTTCAAAACTGATTTAAATTGTTTTCGTACCAAATTTGAAAGATTATCCTTTTTATCTTTATTATGTTCACTAAGTAAATTTTTTTGCTGTTGCTCTTTGAAATTATCTTTAATAACTGTTGTGTAATTTTAGGTGGATAAAAGTCGAGGAAATGCTCGGATGCCTTTAGCTGCCCTATTTATGGTGTGTGTACTGGGGTGTTTGCATTTATTGCAGTTTTCTATAACTGAATCTACATCTAAAGTAAGTTTATAATTGAAGGTTAAGGCAATACAATGATAAACTACAGGCCGGGATAGCCTGGTAGTCGGTAGGGCGCTGGGCCCATATCCAAGAGGTCGTGGGTTCGATCCTCGCCGGCCGAAGACTCCCCTTGTAGTAAATGGTGACTGATGCACGTTAAATCTGTCGAGTCTCAAAGTCCTCCATGTTCCCACAACAAATCAATACCTCTGGAGGTCCTGATCCAGGAGTTTCCTTGTCTTCTGGATTGGTTCAAAATTACAAGGCTACGGAGTTGAACGTTAGTAGTCGTAAACCCATGAAATTGGGTCGGCTGTTCAACGACGGTTATAAAATAAAATAAAATGATGAACTACATTTTCGGATTGTTTATTAGGAGTTGATGTTTGAAATTTTTTTTCCATGTAAACACTACAACTTCCCAATTGGTAAGAAGGTATATTCGTGTAATATGCCGCCATCTAGTAGAAATTCCTAAAACTCGTAAAATACCTGTCTGTCGCCATAATGAGGAACAGTTTGATGTGAAAAATGTTACATTTGAAAAATAAGTGTTGTCTTATCAATATATGGCCCCAATAACTTCAATTATCTGTGAAAAAAGTAAGAAAATACTGCTTTAAAATATTTTGTTACCCTTAAAGTGTACTATTTCATTAATATGTTAAAGTGTACTGTTACCTTAAAGTGTACTATTTCATTAATACTTTTGTTTTCATTAATGTGTACTATTTCATTAATGTGTACTATTTTATTAAAAAATATTAAAAGAAAATTTTTACAAGTGAAAGAGGTTAGTGTGGACCTAGGATCAAAGTAGATAACTGGAATAATTCTAATGATTTTTAGTCGAAATTTCTCTGTAAATTATGGTAGTGCATAAGTAATACCGTTATGCAGGCATACTTTCTTACGCACTGTAAAAAAATCTGAATCAAATTACGGTATTAAGTTCCGGCACTTTGGAAGCCTTATCTGCAAATGTTATTTTTACCGTAAAGTGTTACACCGTAATTTTTACAGTAATATTTATTTAAATAGACAGGGTTCAGTGATTTTAAGGTAATTATTACTGTGAAAATTGCAGTGAATTACATTTTATGGGCCGTAACATGTTTTGATAAAAATAAATTTTACTGTAAAAAGTTCCGGCACCCTGAGTGCCTGTACTTTTTGCTGTAATTCTTTACAGAGAAATATGTTACTTTTTAAGAGATGTAGTGTTGTCAGTATTGCGATACAAAGAAACAGTAGTTTGTAGTGCTTTCTGACAACTGTTTTAACGTTAGTTTAGTTTAAAAACAGGGTTCAAATACTGCTATTTTTTCGAATCAAATTGGTACAAATCTTCACTGATCCGTCAAAGAACGTAATGTGAATGTCTCTGTGGCTGAGAGTTAATAGGAGTTACATATTGGAATTACGCACTAATACTATTTGCACTAGCCCTTAAGTATAATATAGTTAATTTATCACTTTGGCCATACTTTAAATGCCAAAGTACCATACTTTAAATGCCATACTTTAAATGCCATTTTCTTTCTTTCATAGAACACACATATCGAAGAGAGCATCTTTTTTTGTACTTTATTTCTTAGAGGTAATAAAAGAGCATTAAACTCTAAACAAAATTTAAAATATTTGATATTTTTNAGTGAAAGAGGCTAGTGTGGACCTAGGATCAAAGTAGATAACTGGAATAATTCTAATGATTTTTAGTCGAAATTTCTCTGTAAATTATGGTAGTGCATAAGTAATACCGTTATGCAGGCATACTTTCTTACGCACTGTAAAAAAATCTGAATCAAATTACGGTATTAAGTTCCGGCATTTTGGAAGCCTTATCTGCAAATGTTATTTTTACCGTAAAGTATTACACCGTAATTTTTACAGTAATATTTATTTAAATAGAGTGGTTCAGTGATTTTAAGGTAATTATTACTATGAAAATTGCAGTGAATTACATTTTATGGGCCGTAACATGTTTTGATAAAAATAAATTTTACGGTAAAAAGTTCCGGCACCCTGAGTGCCTGTACTTTTTGCTGTAATTCTTTACAGAGAAGTATGTTACTTTTTAAGAGATGTAGTGTTGTCAGTATTGCGATACTAAGAAACAGTAGTTTGTAGTGCTTTCTGACAACTGTTTTAACGTTTGTTCAGTTTAAAAACAGGGTTCAAATGCTGCTATTTTTTCGAATCGAATTGGTACAAATCTTCACTGGTCCGTCAAAGAACGTAATGAGAATGTCTCTGTGGCTGAGCGTTAATAGGAATTATGAATTGGAATTACGCACTAATACTATTTGCACTAGTCATTATGTATAATATAGTTAATTTATCACTTTGGCCATACTTTAAATGCCAAAGTACTCATAGAACACACATATCGAAGAGAACATCTTTTTTTTTGTACTTTATTTCTTAGAGGTAATAAAAGAGCACTAAACTCTTAACAAAATTTAAAATATTTTGATATTTTTCTAGCATTTCTTAAATTAAATATTCGCTGTAGAGAAAAGCGTGAAAAGTTTTATGGCTTGAAAACAAACTAAAGCTATTTTGAGTTAAGAAAAATTAAGCTCAAAACAGTTTTTGCCAAAATCAGCCTCGAATAATCATCTAGCTGAAGTAGTACATGCTATCTCGTTGGCCTAAGACACCCCGAATGGTAGTCGGAATTTGTGACAAATGTCTACAGAGGAAGGTGAGAGGAAGAACGTCAAGACTAGTTTGATTGTTTGATAAAAGCGGTAGTTTTTTTTAAATTAATCACCATTATTCTCTGTTTGAGCTGGTAATCAAACAGGTTTTAATGCTTTTCGCTTAGCTTTCCTCATTTTAGATTCACTTAATTTCGATAGCCATTTTCTTTCTTTCCTCGCTTTTAATATGCTATCCCTAACATCTATGCTTTTTAATCTTCATTTTTGACAAGAAATTTAATAATCCTAAATATTTTTCAGTAAAACGTTTAATTATTGATGTATTTTCTAAACGCGTGTTTCTAACTTCAAATTTTTAAAGCTTACTGTATCAAAATGTAGATAAAAAAAAACTATTTGCAGACACTTTTATTACTTGAACATTTTCTCCTTAATAATAATTTCTTATAAAGAAATACGGCTAATTAGTCATACTTCATTAATTAAGCATATTGTTCTTTTGAATATAATTAGCAGAAAATTAATTGCTCAAATAACAATGTTATTGATTAGAAAAAGTAATTATTTGAAATATCCAGGCAAGAATAAGAACCATGAAATTGGGTGAATAAAGGCTGATCAGTATTTTTTTTCTTCTTTATTCTCGTGAATTAACATTTTTGTTGAACAAAGAAAGCTATAAATTAGTTAGGATTAATATTTTTTTTTTGTCCTTTCACCTTTTTATTTACTTTTATGAGGTAATGATGTATTGATTGAACGTCACATTAATTAATTTTTTTGTGGATTAAAATAAGTTAAAATCACGTAATATCAGGTAGGTGATTTTTCTCTTGAATATAATGAAGAATGGAAGTTAAGTAGTTCAATGAGAATATCTAACTTACCACTTAAATTGAGACGGTAACTTTTTACTCCGATATAATTTATGTGATCAAATGAAATTTTTTCTGATTAGAAACTACATAAAAAAAGTTAGCATAAACCAGAGGATTAACCAGGATTCCTGGTTTCAAGGTTAACATAAACCAGGAAACTAGAACCATATTTTCCAGATGACCGAAGACTTTAAGAGTAAATTAAATAAAGGCGGAGTAAAAGGAAAATGTAAGGTTGGCTGCGTTCTGCTTAGGAATCTATATATTTATTTTTACTTAGTTTCATTTTTAGTTAAAAGGTCTGTGAACATATAGCACTGGTAGCGTATGTAAATATGTATAAAACAATGTCTTTAAAATGTTTACGACAACAATTTGGCATAGTTTATGTGATAGAACTACAAAACTTACTTTTCTCAATCATTCGATAATAATAGCTAAGCGGATTTGATAACAGAGCTAACGGAGGTAAATATGAAGCGATATTTTTAAAATGACTATTGTTTGCTGCAAAAATTTGGCGGATTTTATGTGATAGGACTACAAGACTTGCTTTTCCCTATTACTCTATGACAATAACATAACGGAGCTAACGGAGGTAAATATAAAACAATATTTAAAAATAACTACTGTTTGCAGCAACAATTTGGCGTAGTTTATATGATAAGAGTATAAAACTTACTTTTTACAATCATTCTATCACAATAACAACGTGGATTTGATAATGAAGCTAACAGAGGTAAATATAAAATTAAGGTAAATATTTTTCAAATGACTACTGTTAGCGGAAACAATTATGCATATTTTTTGAGGTAGAAATACGCGACTTACTTTTCTCTATTATTTGGTAAAAATAACGAAGCAGATTTGATTTAGATTATTCTTATAAAAGAAATGGATAAATATATTTATTACTACTCTGCAGTAGATGTGTTTATCAATTATGTTTTGATAGCAAGTTTTACTTTAAACAATTATTCGAATATAATAACAAACTGGATATCTGGCATAGTTGATTCTTATTTTGATTTACCTTTTCGACTTTCTTTGTTTTCTAAAGTAAAATTAATTATTTATAAACGGAAAAACAGGCAAAAACCTAAGCATTAAATATTGTATGAATTAAAATACTAATAATTAATATAAATGTATAAATTAAATGGATAAATATACTTATTAATACTTTGCAGTCGACGTGTTTATCAATAATATTTTTATAGCAATTTTTATTTTATACAATTATTCGATTATAATAACAAAGTAGATATCTGGCATAGTTGATTCTTATTTTGATTTACCTTTTCGACTTTCTTTATTTTCTAAAGTAAAATTAATTATTTATAAACGGAAAAATAGGCAAAAACCTAAGCATTAAATATTGTATGAATTAAAATAATAATTAATATAAATGCATAAATTAAACAGATAAATATACTTATTAATACTCTGCAGTCGATGTGTTTATCAATTATGTTTTCATAGCAATTTTTACTTTATACAATTATTCGATTATAATAACAAAGTGGATATCTGATATAGTTGATTCTTATTTTTATTTACCTTTTCAATTTTCTTTATTTTCTAAAGTAAAATTAATCATTTATAAACGGAAAAATAGGCAAAAACCTAAGCATTAAATATTGTATGAATTAAAATAATAATTAATATAAATGTATAAATTAAGTTGATAAATATACTTATTAATACTTTGCAGTCGACGTGTTTGTCAATAATATTTTTATAGCAATTTTTACTTTATACAATTATTCGATTATAATAACAAAGTGGATATCTGGTATAGTTGACTCTTATTTTGATTTACCTATTCGACTTTCTTTATTTTCTAAAGTAAAATTAATTATTTATAAACGGAAAAATAGGCAAAAACCTAAGCATTAAATATTGCATGATTCAAAATAATAATTAATATAAATGTATAAATTAAATAGATAAATATACTTATTAATATTATCAATAATGTTTATATAGCAATTTTTACTTTATACAATTATTCGATAACAAAACGCGTTGGGTATAGTTTATTCTGTTTTTGATTTATCTCTTTCCTTCTTCTTTTAGTTTTTAAAAATAAAATAAATGATTTATAAACTGAAAAATAGTCACAAATCTGTGCATTCAGCGTTGGAGTTTGACTATAAAAACTTTTCTGTTTTATTGGAAACAATGTTTTATATCTATATAAAAACATTCATGTTGGAACTGTCAGAATTTATTTTTTGGAATTTATTATACTTATATACTATTCTTATTCCTTTTGCAGCTGTGGATTTCAACAATCGGATTTTTATTGGGAGCAGGTTTTTATGGTCCTATTGCAATTTATGGTGTAGTTGCTTCTGAGAGTGCCCCAGACAATCTCAGTGGCACATCCCATGCAGTTGTTGCTTTAGCTGCAAATGGTGAGCCCAATTCAATAAATCGTTTTATTTCCAGCAGAGAGTATAATTTTTATTCGCTCTTCACGTAAATAAAGTTTTTCCGATATTATTATATTGCTTTATAATAAAGAATTTGTTTAAGTGTAAACGTAAAAGAATTTTTTAATTTATTTCAGAAAGAAAATTTCAGTAGTTCAATTTTTAAAAATTGAATAGTCGTAAATATTGCAGTATATCTTAATTAAAAACAGATGTCTTGTTTTTAATAAGCAAATAGCATGCAAAGTCAAATGCCACTTGCCAATCCAGCAAGCCTGTTTGATGAAACGAAACGTATTTAAGGCAGAGGATGTGTTTCGTGTTTTTTAGTGGGACTATCTATGGCTAAGAATACGACTTCAGCCACACACACGTCACAGCCCGTTTATAGGGCGAACCTATTCATTTATCCACAGATTGTAATTTTGACCTGAACCAGGGAACGACCAATTTCCAATTCAGTACAGATTTAACGTGCGCCAGTCACTATTTACTACGATTTACTACGCTGGAAGTCTTCGGTGGGGATCAAACTCACGACCTCTTTGACATGGGCCTAACGCCCTACCATCCAGGCTATCTAGTCCTACGGTATGCAAAGTAAAAAAACCGAACACGATACTAATTTTTTATTCAAATGTATGTTTTTAAAACATGACATTTAAAAAAAGCAGGTTTTTTTTTAAATATTTGCGTTTCTTTAGAAGTATTCCTCCGATATTGTTAAATATTTTATGTTTTAATGTTTAAAATTTTAAAGTTTAAAACAATGCAAAAATTAGTACTGCCTTGAATGCGTGGAGGAGCTCATTATGTAATTTTTCTAAGTCTATTTACACAGTTTTCTTTTTATTTTATGCGTCAAGTCTAATGCTGAATACATTGAAGATACCTTTCAGCGTTTTTATCTCTAAACTAGACAGGTTAAAAGCACTACCAATAAAGTTTTACTTTGTAAATATTACTCGGAATTTTAATTCTAAAGAATCTTTTTTTAATATGCACAGTATTCTGAAAGGTGTAATTTAAGATTTTTGGTACGCTATTTTTTAGAGTTATAAATGAAGATTTTGTTTAGTTGTAAACGTAAAAGAATTTTAAATTAATTCTACAAAGATGGAATTTGAAATTTTAATAGTTGCAATTATTGTAGAAGTAGTGTATATTAATTAAAAACACGTGTACTATTTACAATAAACAGATCATACGCAAAGCAAGAAACGGAACACGATAATAACTATTGATCTAAAGTTTAGTTTTTCACGAAATAAAATTTCAAAATAGCCGATTTTTTAAAAATTTTTTTACAGTCCTCAATAACTAGTCAACCGATATTGTTCAAATTTTGTGTTTTTTTTGTTTAAGTTTCAAAGTTTAAAATAATATAAAAATTAGTACTTCATACCAACTATTTATTTTATTGGAATTGTAGTAGAGTGACTCATTAAATCAGTGTTTTGATTTTCGAAGTCCATTTACAAAGTTTTCTTTTTATTAACTAAGTCTATACATTGTAGATCCCCTTAAGCTTCCTAATCTAAAAACTAGGGAGGTTTAATGTACTGCTAATAAAGTTTTACCACATTGAGAAAAAATATGGTCAAAAGTTCCAGAATATGGTAAAATTTAAAACTTTTCTGGCTACTCAGCTATTTCTATAAAAATTACTGAGCTTTTTGGTGCTACCATAAGTAGCGACAAAAAGCTCGGTAATTTTTATCGAGGCGCTTTGGTAATGATTTTGGTGAAATTTAACAATGTGGTTTTGTGATTTCTTCCTGATACCATAGAGTGTTGCATAAAAACCATTTATTCTATTAAATTTACCGTTAAATTTTGTATTCTTTTACTAATATGTGGTTATAATATGTGGTGTGATATAACTTTGAAAACCAAAGTTTCCGGTAAAGTGTTACCTTATGAACGAAAAGGGATGATTTAAATACCAAATGAATGGTTTAAATACCATATCGCTTTGTTTCACTTCCAGAGTTCTGATTTTTTTTTTGCCAGAAATGACAATAACATGCGCTACGTTACTTTTCCCAGAATTATTTTCTCCTTGCACTGTGCTTATTTTCTTTTTATTTTATTTACGTTTTAATCATAATCTTGCTTAGTAATACTCCGAAAAATAAATTAAAAGTTTTTAAAAGTAAACTTAAAGCATATTAAGAACTTTAATTCGGAATAAATTTTTTTTCTACCTTGCCTATAAATATTACTCGGAATTCTTATTATAAAGAATCTTACATAATATGTTCAGTAATCTGTAAGGTGTATTTTAAGATTTTCGGCTATGCTATTTCTTAGAATTTTAAGGAAATATTTAATATTTTCGATACAAAATAGAAAGTTTTATCAGTGTTTATAACTTACATGCTTTTAATTTGTAAAAATATGCCACCGGAGGTGATCTAAACAATTATTTCAAACATCGTATAAAAATAAATTGCACAACGAGGCGGGTAATTCAGGCAGAAAATTTGCGTCTAACAAGTAAAATTTTTTTGTTTTAATATAAAGGGATTTAATGGCTTCTGTAATCTTTTTGGCTGTAGTTTCGAGTGTTATCTTGAGTTTATGCTATTATTTCGGATGAAAAAATTTGTGAGACATTTTTAAACGTTTTTAAAGATACCTTGTGCATAAAAAATCATAATTGATTTCTTTTTAAAATATTAAAGTTTACGTATCTTCAAACGGGAAACTGCATATCACTCATCTTGAAATTTGCCGTTAATCTTAAGTTGAGGAGAAAAATGCCTAATTCTGGCACAATTACCTCGGAAAAACGTTAGATGAAAGAAAGAAAAATTCTTGAAGTCGATAAATTTTTTCTAAACATGTTTTTCAGCATTTTTTTTGATATGTTAATGATATAAGTACAACAATAACTAACTTTGTAAAAATTTTTTTTCAAGTCTGCACTAAATCTAGATTTAATTTTTCATAATGGTTACCAATTGGTTTAAAAGAGATTCTCAACAATGGATATAACTGAGCTTTAATATTGCGTTTTCACTCTAGCAAACTGTTAAAAATTTCTCGGTTAAATAACAATTTACTTAATAGGTATTTTAACATATTAAAATAAAATAGTCAGATAACCGTAAATAAGATGGTATTAACAATGAGAAAAACCATTTGTAAACTGCTTTCACCTAATACTGTTAAATAACCAGAATTTTATTACCAACTTGGCCCATATAATAAAGCCACTTAGTTCATTGCAATTGGGTACATAAATTCGCGAAAGGGCTATTCTGTCAATCTCATGACCGACAAAACGGGAGTTCAAATGCCAGGATTGAACCAAAATATTTTCTCCATTCCCTTCAACACATGATGAGTTTCCAGTGCCCTGCACACTCAAATTTATGACCGTGGACTATTAGAAAACGGAATAAAAAGAACTAAGAACTGGAAAGCGCTTGGAGGAAAGTGGTTAGCTTGGAAAAAACTTCTTAAGAAGGCCAAGGCCCACCCTGGGCTGTGGAGCCATTCATGATGATGATAAATTAAATTAAATTATTAAATATTAGTTAAATTATTAAGTAATTAGTTGTTATTTTTGAATATTTTTTTCCTTTTCTTGACTGGAATATGCTCTATCGAACTTAGTTATAAAATTTTAAATATTAATTCATTAAATTTTACGCACATTTTAATTCTTTACTAATCTAAATAATTAATTTAAACACTTTTTTTTAAATAATGAAAAACTTAATTTTTTTTTAATTAGCTTGCTTAATAGATATATGTACATATGTAACAAGCAACAAGCTTAGACAAAATTTTTAGTGTTCATTTAGTCATTCTTAATTTATTATTCAAAACTCACATTTATTATTCCCATCCGTTATTTTAGAATTTACTGCTTTGCTTTTATGGATTTTAAATAAAATATATTTTTTTGTTACATTTTATCTTTATTTCGAAGTGTATGTATATTATTTTTACTATGTTATTATTTTTTTTCAGTGGGTGCTATTGTTTCTGGCCTACCATTTAGTTACATAGCAAAGTACTATAACTGGTCTACAATATTTCTTTTGTTGGAAATAATGGCTGCAGTAAATCTCGTCATAATGTTCCTGTGTAGGAATTTGAATTATAATATGGGAAAGAAGAAAAAAGACTAAAAAAACGCCATATTTTTTTTTCAAAAACAAATTATTTCATCTTTACTCAGAGATATCGTCATATTTGTTACTCTAGTTGTTGATAAATTGTAAATAAATTTTATTTTGTGTCTTATTTATTTACTTGGATAACTACATTTTATAAACAACTCCGTAAAATTATACTATAAGCTCTGCTTCTACTTGTTTATGCTCGTCAACCTTGCTTGCTTATGCACTCTTATAGTCTCTTCTGATCAAGTTCGACCCATTTGAAATGTACCCTTGCATTTTATAGCATAAATATTCATTGAAACTACATTATGTCTGAGATAATATCAAAATTATGAATGTCTTTTAAGAAAATTACTACTTAGCATTCTGGATTTCTTTGAAGTCGTATTTATATATTTTGGACTTGAAGCTATCATTTGAAGGCTATCAAATGACTTGATTTGGGAGAGGCTAACACAGAGTTGTCTACATATTTGCCGCAGTACTGTTTCTCATCTCAAAGTGTACAATAGTCTATTGAAAGTAAAAGTTGATAAAAACTTTTCTGAGTTTTTATTTCATAATTACTTTCAATTCTAATTGATTAATATTATAATTATTGAAAGAAAAAGTTAAAACGGTTTTAAAAAACGGAAAGTGTCAGCATGATGGTAGTAACATTTCATGATCTAGTAACATTTGAGCTCTTTGCTTTAAAGTGTCAGTATGATATTAATTGACTTAAAATATTTTGATTTCTTCATTAGAAGAACTTTTAAACGGAGTTTAGAACATAGATCTTGTATATTTTTGCATTGGCATTACTCAGAACTTAAATAATTGAAATATTTAACGACCTTGTAATAAAATAAGAAAATTTAAAGCCGGGAACCTGAAATATTATAAAATTGTTAGAATATTTTTTTAGTGTCCCATTTACTTTAAGATCTTAAAAGTTTTGCAAATTTTGTATTGTGATAAAAATTTATTTCAATTTTTTTCTATTTTTCAAATAAATTGATTGAAATCCACCAAACAATTGTGGAAAAATGTATTGCTTGTAAAGATTCTTCAAGAATAGAGAACGAAAACCATTAAAAACAAAGTAGGTTTATTCATGATTGTTTACAAAACAACTATTGCCGATTTTTCGGAAGAACTAATGTTTTTCGGTCATTACCTAGCAATATAAAATGTGGAGCAAAGAAAAAATGTATGGATTAGTAGGTACAATTGATGTGAAATTACTTATGTAACCATATACACAATCGTACACTACATAATTGTAATCAGTTCCGATTTTCGTACGGGCTGTATCAGTGTGAGTTAATCAGTGCACAGGTGAAGATGATACTCACAATGCAGCAGAGAGTGCCATACAGTCCACTGAACCATGGATCCCATTTACACAATCTTCATCCTTAAACAGAGTTGTTAGCTGAAGCCAATTTGGTGTCTGACCTAGCTGGCCACCCAGGCCATCTGATCTGTCAGTGCCTGATTACTTTCTGTTGGGAATCCTAGAATCAAAGGTGTTTTGAAACAACCCTCTTAATCTTAGAATACTGCAGCAGAACATTTATAATAAGATTGTAGCAATTCCAGAAACTTAGCTTTGATCTGCCTTCCGCAACTTGCTGACCATTGTTTAAAAGTGTCAGGAGTTGATTGGTGGTTGCTTTCAACATATAAGAATTTACCGATATATTTCCTTTTCTTTGCTGAGTTACCTTGCACCAGGCACTTTGTTCGCCGGGCAACTTTTATTTGAGCCACCCATACATAATAAGCTATGCACAAAATTATATATGCATATATATAAGGGACATTTTCCGAAGAAAGCAGAAATTTGTGTTATACGACAGTTTAAATGAAAATTAAAGTTTTTAATCTTATCAAAGATGATCTATAAATCAGAATAAAATTTATAATTACATTAAAATTGCAAATTTAGTAAAAAATATAAAATTTATTATTAAAAGCTTGTCAGTCACATCTGTGAATGGTTTATTTTTACTATTTTTTAGTTTTTAGTTTCATAATCAAGAAATTAATTTTTAAATATTCTCAATAAATAGTGGTTTTGATTGAAAATGTGTTGAAAATACCGGACTTATTATTTATTATGTGTTGAAAATACCGGACTAGCAAAAAGGTTTATTACAATTTATATCTTATATACACTTATTTCAAATTAAATGCCTGTACCCAAAGTAATATGTCACGCCTTTATAGAGAAAAGAACAGACAAAATTCTTCCGAATGGCAGCACACATTTTTACAGTTCATTAATCTCTTCTAAAGGAGCCATTTTGTTAAAAGCAACAAAGAAAAACGTTACTTTGTATTTCACTGTATTTTATTTCAAAGTTATTCTAAATTTTCGTTATGAATTAGAATTTATTATGACACTATGTGCTTTAATTATGCAAGGGTGAGCGAGCAGTTTTTCGTCACATTTGTTGAGGCAATTTATATATTTGACATTGTGTCCAATTTCTGCTTAGAAGGGGAGAGTGGGGTCAATTGTAACATTTTTTACTTAACTATTCTTAACTAACAAAAAATCCAATATATTATTAGTATTAATTGACAGACGAGTAAAGTAGACTATCCTCTACTAGAAAAAAAAATAAATACCTTATTTTAAATGTTGTTATATTAGTTATTAACAATTTTTGACAGTCGTGCACTTGTTACAATTGTCCCCACTTACGGGGTCAATTGTAACAGTTCATAAATTCAACTAAAACATAGTTAATCATACAGATTATCATAGTTGTGATATATTTTTTTATTGATTAAAATAGTAGTGATATTTTAGGAGTAAAAATAATAATGAGCAGAGACCTAAGGGGTTAAAAGTTTTAATTTGTGCTGTGAAAGGTGACAAATAAAATAATGCACATGCAACATAATATAAATGATATATGAAACTATTTGTGGTTCTTAAAGAGTTAAGTAATGGTTTGTAAACATAAGAAATGGGACCTAAAGGGTTAAACAATTGCAATTGAAATTGTGAATTTATTTTCAGCTGTTACAATCGCCCCTTTACTTATTGTTACAATTGTCCCTAAGACGCCATTTCAGTTTCATTTGTTAAAAACAATGCTAGTTAATTGACATAACTAATCTTGTTTTTTTGAAATGTTAATTAAGGTCTCCACTTACATATTCTGTTAATAATTTTTATTTGTTTAAACAAAATTACTTTGTTACAATATAATATTCTAATACCAAAAAAAGTACTTACGCAGCGTCAAAATATCTTTTGTGATGTAACTCTTTCAAAAGTACACAAAAATGGCTGACAGCAGGGGTGTACATGTAGATTTATTAAATACACCTTGTGCGCCACCTAGGAACCAAATCTAGAACCCGACGCCCGAAATTTTTGCTCTGTTACAATCGTACCCTGTTACAATTGACCCCACTCTCCCCTATTATCAACAGTAGTGTCACCTAAAACAGTATACAGATCATTAATAAACGCAAGAGAATTGGGAAAAAGAATCAACCAAGCTACTCATAGCAATAGTATTATCAACTTTAGCATCACCTAACTCAATATACAAATTATCAACAGACAAATGAGAATTGGAAAAATAATGAATTAATCAAGCAACACAACTCAACAGTAAAATTGAATTTATTCATTAAATATTAGAAAAAAAACGGAAGTTAAAAATAGTAGATCACTTAAATTATTTCAAACACATCCCTTTTAATGCATGAGACCTTACATTTTTGAAATACTTCTTCAACTAGCTATGGCAAAATCCTCTATAAACACAATTTCATGTTCATAGATTGAACAAAGAACTCATTCACAGAACAGAGATCAAAACATTTAAAGAACAGAGATTATTAATTCTTTTGATACTATCCTTTGAGAGACGTTGAGAATTACTCATACGTCATGATGAAGTGGAACTCAATAATTCTTCTTAAGATGCATTAAGAAACTTATTGCTAAGTTTGAAACGTAGAATTGTTTGAAAGTCGTGAACCGAAATTACTTCAGATTGATCGTTGAAGATATTTAAAATACGACAGGGTTGATAGTTCTTTCTTTGCATTTGGTAAAAGAGTTAGGAATAAATCTGGCTTACGGATTTATGATGTTTCAAGTAAAAATATTTGAAGACCTCGATAGTCTGAGGTTTGTTCCTTTACGTCAAATTATGAACTGTTTGCGAAAAGGGGAAATGCAGATCATACAAAGATTGAAAATAAACAGACATTTGTGAACAGATTTTATCTATATATATTTGACATAAAAAGTTTTAACAAATATATTTATGTCATTTCGTTGTCTAAACTCTCTTATTTTAATTCTTTATTCAAAACAAAACGCATTATCATAATTAGTGATTCGTAATTTAGTTCTTATTTTAGATTAAAGTACGTAAATTATCCCTTGTTAGACACGCGGACATATTTACTAGTCAATTTTCCCTTTTAAATTCCCTAATGTAAAAACGATCGTCGTTTTCAGTGTGATTTTATGTTCGTTCCCTGCACTATAATGCCTAAATAAAGAGTGATGTGCAAATCAACGACCTAGCTTGATTCCTTGCGTGCCAGAACACTCGCCCAAAACTCTATCACATATGTATTAAATAATTATTTCTCTTTGAAAAGTACATTGTAGAAACGTGTTTCTAATTTTTGAACAAATTTGTGTCAAAATAGCTCCGAAACAAATATAATCGAATTGGAAATCAATGTATATTCAAAATTGAAACAAAATTCGTTTTAATAAATGATGATCAGAAACTAAAAAGCACTTAATGAAGCACATTTTTTTTCTTCTAAAATCAACAATCAGTAATAAGTTTACCCAAACTATGTATGATATAATTTATTTGTAGTTTAAGTTATTGCAAATAGTTGAATTCAAAAATAGAATTTTAAAAGATATGCCACTTAAACAAATCTTGAAAGTTTTTTTTATTAACATTTCCTCTCTTGGAAATAAATTTTTATCTGCAAAACCAAAATACAACCTTAATAATTTTAAACAATGTAGCAAAATATTTTTGTAGCATGCAACGAAGCAACATATTACGAATAACAAATTAAATTTATGAAAAAAGTTTTTGCAGCAAATGTTATTTTTCTCAACCACAAACATTT